TAAATGTTTCTACATGTTTTATAGGGGGAATACAAGTTAAACATGCCAGTTATCATATCAATCACATGTGATTGATAACCCGCATGAACAAGGATTCATTACACTGTTAACTGTTTTACCAAGTATGATACTGTAAATGGTTTCCTAAAAACGTCTTTATGTGTCCAATGCTTTTCTCAAATTACCACTCGTGATGTATGTTTTATTTCAAACTCTACTACATCAGTATTTTAATCAATGGTTTTCTCTACTGTATCAAGGTTTAAATCAAAACTTGTTTATGAATGATTTTCTTAAAATATAAAGGTTTTTTTCCTAAAGTTTTTCATCAAAGATTTCTCCCATGTTTTTATACTCCTACTTGATAACGCTTTCACTTTGTGATACGCTTATACTTGTTACCACTTTTACTTCACTTATACTTGTTACGCTTATACTTCACTTATACTTGTTATCACTTTTACTTCACTTATACTTGTTAACGCTTATACTCCACTTATACTTGTAACGCTTTTACTTTGTAATATGCTCCTACTTATTTATGCTTATACTTCACGATACGCTCCTACTTCACAATACGCTTATACTTCACGATACACTCCTACTTCACGATACACTCCTACTTCACAATACGCTCCTACTTCACAATACGCTTATACTTCACGATACACTCCTACTTCACGATACGCTCCTACTTGTTAACACTTATACTTTTGTGGAACACTTCTACTTCGTTAAACACTTAAACATAGTTAGATGTATGCATGTGCTTGTATAGATGTATATAAATAATGTTTGAAGGACATAGGAAGGCTGGTTCGCCCTATTTCCTTTTCTTCGTTGAGATGTGGTCTGGTGGGATCGGATGTCCATCCGAAGTTCGTTTGATCATTAGTTATATATTATGTATACAAGCATAGAGATGTAGGTTTACATTAGTCAGTTCGGTTGTGAGTCTCTATCGCTTGTCCAGTATTTTACATTAGATCTCACTATATGAGATACATCCTCAGTACACGGCCTTCTCCGTTGTCGAGTTGGTAACCAAAGTCTCTTATAAGGAGAGCGTACATTGTGTGTATAGATCTATACAGGATTGACAACCCCGCACCCTGACTACTAGCTACAGTCCATGGCTTACCAAGCCAAGGGGTGACAAATGTCATGTTTATATCGACCCTTGCAGGGCGTCAAGATTCTCTAGTGTCGATCAGTATGGTTACGAGTATCTCAGGGTTACCTTATAATTCATGGATTTAAGGTAACGGGTTTTATACACAGTATTTCACTATATACACTGTGTTGGACCTTAGTAGTTGTATCTTTCATTTGATACTGTCTAGGGTCTGTCTCTAGTTTAGACCTTGCTAGCTGTATCTTTCATTTGATACTGTCTAGGGTTTGTCTCTATTTTAGACCTTGCTATCTGTATCTTTCATTTGATACTGTTTGGAGTCTTTATTCTCTGTTTTAGACCTTACTAGCTGTATCTTTCATTTGATATTATCTGGGGTCTGTGTCTCCTTTTGTTAGATTGAGCAAGGCCTACCGTTCATTCGATACCCTCCTGGAGTCTATGATTCTTTTGCCTTAGTCAGCAGTCCTCACTGCTGAGGCATATGTTATTTTCCCTAATATTTTACGACTTTCTTAAAAAGAAAATCTCGTATTTTGATAATGAAAGTGTTTCAGGGAAAACTACTTTTTACCACATAACTCCGACCAGTCTTGGTAGAAGACTGCTTTTTAATCAGAAAATATAGGATTTTCTGGAAAGAACTCTATTTCACCGTATAATTAAAAACTACTACTTATATAAAGTTATTTGTATAAAATGTCACTAAATACTTATGAACTCGCTAGCATTTGTAAAAATGATGATACTCGCTTTTCAAATAACTTGTATTCTCAGGTCAGCTATAGACTGGTACATCACAGGAGCTTTTGGTGAAGACAGTTTAGTACCAAGCTGCACCTATATGATTACTTGTATTATTTTGATGTATTGTAATGTAAACCATGTAAAACTATTACTATTAATGCAATGGTTGTTGTACTTTGATTACTATAATGCATGTATTGTGATACTTGACATGACGTCACCCACCCCAGAATGTTTCCGCCGTGCCGGTTTTGGGGTGTGACACTTGCGCCGCCAGAGATGCAGGAGTTATCATCGCAGCTTCAGGAGCTACTGGGGAAGGGGTTTATTAGACCGAGTATCTCTCCGTGGGGAGCGCCGATCCTTTTTGTCAGGAAAAATGATGGTTCACACCGGATGTGTATTGATTACCGGGAGTTGAATAATTTGGCATTCAAGAACCGTTACCGATTACCGAGCATCGATGACATGTTCTATCAGTTGCAGGGAGCTTCTTGGTTCTCCAAGATAGATTTGAGGTCTGGATATCATCAGATGAGAGTGCGGGATGAGGATATCTAAAAGACGGAATTCAGGACCCGTTATGGGCATTATGAGTTTGTGGTAATGCCTTTTGGGCTCACCAATGCACCAACAACGTTTATATATCTCATTAACAGGGTGTACAGACTGATGTTGGATCAGTCGGTGATTGTGTTCATCGACGATACTCTGGTGTATTCGAAATCCCGAGAGCAGCATGAGGAGAATTTGAGGGAGATTCTCGGAGTATTGAGTTCGGAGAGGCTTTACGCCAAATTCTCCAAGTGAGATATCCGGTTACGAGAGGTCCATTTCTTAGGGCACCTCGTCAACCAGAAGGGGATATTGGTCAATCCGGCCAAGATTGAGGCTGTGATGAGATGGGAGGTGCCGAAATCTCCCATCGAGATCAGGAGTTTTCTGGGATTCGCTGGCTACTATCAGAGATTTATCAGGGATTTCTCCAAGATTTCCTTTCTTCTCACCAGGTTGACCCTGAAGGGCATGACTTTTAGTTGGGGTCCACAGCAGCCGACCTCGTTCGAGACGCTTCGCCAGAGGATATGCGAAACCCCGGTATTAGCCCTCCCAGAAGGGACGGAGGATTTTGTGGTGTATTGTGACGCATCGATATCAGGATTGGGCGCGATGCTTATATAAAGAGGGCATGTGATAGCGTACACATCAAGGCAGTTGAAGCCTCACGAGGTGAGGTATCCCACCCATGATTTAGAGTTGGGGGCCGTGGTGTGCGCCCTCAAGATATGGCGCCATTATTTGTATGGGGTTTAGTGTATCATATACACATACCACAAGAGTTTAAAGTACTTGATGGATCAACCCAACCTGAATATGCGCCAGAGGAGATGGTTGGATGTGGTAAAGGATTATGACTGCGAGATCCTATACCACAGGGCAAGGCTAACGTTGTAGCCGATGCCCTGAGCCGTAGGGCTGAGAGTGCCCCAATACGAGATATTTGTATGAGGATGACGGTGATGACTCTGGTGTTGGATACCAGCTGAGAGGCCTAGGTAGAGGCCTTACGACCGGAGAACTGCAAGAGAGAGCAGGTGATTAGGCAAGGATCGAAGTTTGTTACCGATAACCGAGGACTTATGACCTTTCAGGGTCAGATTTGGGTGCTGTTTATGGGCGGGGCACGTACCATCCTGATGGAAGAGGCGTACAGATCGAGGTTCTCGTTCCATCTCGGGGCCACTAAGATGTATTTGAACCTGAAAAGATACTATTGGTGGCCCTATATGAAGAGGAATGTTGCATGGTTTGTTGAGAGGTGCTTGACCTATCACAGGGTTAAGGCTGAGCACCACCGCATGCATGGCAAGTTGCAGCCACTTGAGGTTCCCTAGTGGAAGTAGGAACAAATTTCGATGGATTTCATCAACAAATTGTCGTGGACCGCGAGGGGTGTCAATGCAATTTGGGTGATCATTGATCGGCTAACGAAGAGCGCTCATTTCCTTGCTATCAGTGAGAGCTCTTCTGCAGAGAGGTTAGCGGAGATATATGTGAGGGAGGTGGTATCGCGGCATGGAGTACCGATCTCGATTGTGTCAAATCGACATGTATGTTTCACTTCCAGATTATGGAAGAAATTCCATGAAGAGTTATCTATGAGGTTGCATTTCAACACCACATACCACCCACAGACGGATGGATAGAGTGAGTGGACGATTCAGACGTTCGAGGACATGCTTCGAGTATGTGTGTTGGACTTTGGAGGAAGTTGGGACACGTAGCTACCATTGGCTGAGTTTTCTTATAACAACAGCCACCATTCGAGTATTGGTATGCCTCCCTTCGAGTTATTGTATGGGAGGAGGTGTCGGACTCCCATCTGCTGGGGAGAGGTAGGGCAGCGAGTAATGGGAAGCAATGAGATAGTGCTTCAGAAGACTGAGCAGATACAGTGGGTCAGGAAAAGATTGCTAACAGATCGGAGTCGCCAAAATAGTTATGCGGATAGGCGATGATCCGAGCTTGATTTTCAGGTTAGGGACTTCGTACTCCTGAAGGTATCTCCTTGGAAAGGAGTGACCCAATTTAGGAAGAGCGGCAAAATGGGGCCCCAGTACATCGGTCCTTTCAAAGTGACCGTGGGGGTGGGAAGGGTAGCATATCGTTTAGAGCTACCTACGAAGTTAAGCCAGATACATGATACCTTCCACGTGTCTCAGGTTGAGGAAGTGTGTATAGCCGATGACTCAGCGGTAGTGCCACTAGAGGATATTCAGGTGGATGCGAGCCTGAATTATGTTGTGAAGCCGATCGCGATCCTGGATCGGAGGATCAAAGTTCTGAGGAACAAGGAGGTGTTCCTGGTTCAAGTCCAGTGGCAACATCGGAGAGGGTCCGAGCTGACTTGGGAGCCAGAGTTAGAGATACAGGAGCAGCATCCATAGTTGTTTGTTGGGCGAGACTTTGAGGGCGAAGTCTGATTCTAGTGGGGGAGAATTGTAACATCCGGAATTCCAGGTATCCTATTTTAATTAATTATCTTGTGTCAAGAAGAGTAACTCGACGAGTTGACAATTGATTTTATGATTCAAATTTGTAGGTGAAGTTAACAGTGATGATTGAGGACCCTCGAGAAGTCGAGCGGAAGAGACTTCTTGGGATCGACGATGCTGATACCCCAACACGAGAAGAGTTAGCTGCAATTCTCGAAGAAGTTAGTCCTTTTCTATCATTCTTCAAATGTAATTGTAAACACAGAGGCCCTATAACAATCAAACCCTATATATCAGTCTCAATAGTCATCCTTCTGTTTTTAGGTGAATGAAGGGAAAATCCCGAGAGACAAGATTGCCCTTCAAATGCTGGTAGAGGAAATGGTTCAATGGCCTAATTTAGAGGTACATTTTGCAGCTTCGCGTCTAGGGTTTGTATACTATGTTACATTTTAAGAAAAATCGAACTATTTTAAACTGAATTCATGTGAAAAAAAGGTAGAAGCAACAAAAAAGGGGAAATGGAAATCGAAATATGCGAAGGCTACAAACACTGGGATTGATCCAGAATTAGCTGCAAAGAGGCTTAACGTTGACTGGGATACAACTGCAGAGATTGAAGAAGAAGATGGCAGTGACGAGAGTGATGTCCCTTCAGTTGTGGTACCTTTTTATTTATTTTCAATCATAGAAGGACATTCTCCTCTTTTTCAAAAAATAAGAGTGAATCCATGTGGTGATTTTTGTGTCATTGACATCAACTTAGTAAAAAGTTCGTCATGTTATGTCATGTTTCAATGTCTAGTTTATTGTGTTATTGTGATTTTACGATTTTGCCATTTTGAATAATAAGAATTTTGTTTGGTGTAGGGATACGGAGCATTCTACTTGGTGACCGCGTTTCCAGTGATAATTGGTGTATCGGTGGTGTTGATTCTTTTTTATAATTCTCTTCAGTGAGAATATAATGTATTTTGTTGTTACTTGTTAAGTTAGTTTGTAATATCCAGTTGATTTGTGTATTTCATTTGGTTTACAGAGATTTTTGTGTTGTAACGATGTAAAGTTTGACATGATAATACATGATTGAAGATAGAAATGAAACCCTAATGTGATTCAGTTCATTTTGTAGTCTAAGGTTTAAGATTCCCCATAGAAGCTAGTTTTGAGAGAAAGAGTTGTTAACTTATTACCTCAAACCTTTTCAAGAATCTTTTCTCATTTTCGACATAAAATCAAACCAGTGAAATTTATGGTTTTTTACAAATATAAAAATCCACACAATCAGTTTATTAAATTGGTTGATTTTTTTATTTCCGGTGTTTGGAAAACACCCATGAGCAACTAAAGCTTGTTACATTAATTCAATTCTCCTTAGCTGCTACAACACAAAAATATTAGAAGTAAATTGATAGTTATGTCTGTTGAATATCAATTAATGCAACATTACATCAAAAGAAACTCTCTTTGGATCAAAATAACATGTTTTGAACAATCGTGCTTTTTGATTTGGAAAAATGTCAACTGATCCTTAACATATCTTTTACATAATGCAAACCAGGATTCAACACTTAAACATGCTTCCTTTTCACTATGGGAATACAGAGATTGTGGTATGCAAGTGATTAACGAGTGTCATATCAAAATCTTCACCACCTAAATTAGTGTCACCTCCAACAGCTTTGACATCAATGGAACCTCTATTACCAACTCTCAAAAGCGACACGTCAAAAGTTCCACCACCCAAATCAAACACCAATACATTCTTCTCCTTAACCCAATCTTTATCTTCCATATGATCGACACCATACACGATTGCAGTTGCTGTAGGTTCGTTTATCAAACTCAAGACATTGAGTCCTGCAATGACTCCTGCTTCTTTTGTTGCCTCTCGTTGCATGTTATTGAAATAAGCAGGAACAGTGATTACAGCATCAGTTACTTCTGTCCCGATAAATTCTTCAGCAGCTTCTTTCATCTTCTTCATAACCATGGCCGATAATTCTTCTGGTGCGTATTTCTTCTCTTCGCCATTGAACTCCACTACAACAATTGGCTTCTCCGAAGGTCCTTCAATGACCTTGAAAGGCCACGACTTCATGTCTTTTTGCACTTGTGGGTCAGTAAACCTACTTCCAATTAGTCGCTTAACATCTGAAAAACATTTGAGGAGATCAATCATAGAATATATCAACTAAACATAAAAAGAAACAAAACGTTGATCCATATTCTTCTTTTATAAATTCTAAGTAGTTTTAACAAAAAAGACTTGCCAAAAACTGTGTTTGTTGGATTCCTTGCAATCTGGTTTTTTGCACCTTCGCCTACCAAGAGCTCTGAATCATTGAATGATATGAAAGATGGAGTGATCTTGTTTGCTTTTTCATTGGGTATGATTTCCCCCCGTTTTTTTTGTGAAACCAAACTCCAGCACATGAATAAGTAGTTCTAAGATCAATGCCAATGGCAACTCCTTTAGATCTATGAGACATTTGAACAAGAAAATAATGATGCAAGAGGGGTGAGGAGTTTATACAAATGAAAATAAGAAATAAATATGATGGTGTTGTAGCCTAAGGCTTGATCCTTGAATATGTATGGCATCCCTTGAAACTGGATTCTTTTATATTCACAAAGAGTCTAAATTTGCAATTAAATTTTATGGGACAAGAATCTAACAGTCGCTTTATACTAGTTCACGACTCTACGTTATTCAAAAGGTAGCTATTAAATACACAACCCATGAACACCCTATTTTTTAAGTCAACCATTTACTACTTAAAACACACCCTAAATCTAGGAAAATGTATAAAAAGACTCAAATCCTTTGTAAGCATTGTAATTTGTAAATTTTAAATACAATTAATTATTTATTTAAAAGGTCTTTTGATCAACGTGTTACAGGGATGAAAGTGGGTCTAAACCCGGACCGGATGGACCCGGACCTGGAAAACCCGAAACCGATTAACGGAATTTTGTAGAATCAGAAACCGGACCGGTATATAGGAACCGATTCCGGTTCGGTTCCGAGTATGGTTCCGGGTAAAGTGGGTCTAGAACTTGAAAACCCGGAAACATCAAAGTGGGTAGGTTGGAACCGGATAAAGTGAGTTTAGAACCTGAAAACCTGAAAAAACCGGACTTTTTTGGTAATTACTTACTACTTAGTGGGTTGAACTTTGAAAATTTTCATATTGATATATACCGACTTTGGAGGATTGTAACTCATTGAATATGAAACCAAAATTAACAAAATTATAATATAAAATCATTTATAAACTCTAAAGTAAACTCTGGAAATAACCGCATGTCAATCCGACTTTAAATGAATGTGATACGCATGTGTTAACATTTTCACATAATACAAAGTACAAAAACAAATAGCTGAAAAGTTGAAAATTTTCAGTTTTGATATCCCAACTTCGAAGGACTGTAAATCATTGAATGTTAAACCAAAAATGACAAAATTATAGTCTAAAATCATGTACAAACTGTAAACTACAAGTTGGAAAAAAACCATATGTCAATCCGACTTCAAAAAAATTAGATATGCATGTTTTAAAACTTTCACCGAATACAAAAAAAGTGAAAAATTAAAAATTTCCAGCTTTGATATATCGACTTTGGGGGACTGTAAGTCAATGAATATAAAACTGAAAATGGCAAATTTATAGTCTAAAATCATGTACAAACTCTAAACTACATATTGGAAAAAACCGTATGTCAATTGGAGTTGAAACGAATGAGATATGCATCTTTTAAACGTTTCACAAAAAAAACGGTTACGAGCCTAAAAGTGGTTCTGGATCCAAAAACCGGTTCCGGTTTTTAAACCCGGTTTACCCGGACCCAAACCTGGATTACCCGGATTACCCAGAACCCGGATAAAGCCAATTTTTAAACCCGGAACCAGAACCAATTCTATATATTCCACTTCTAATGGTTCCAGTTCCGGTCCGATTCCGGTTCTGATCCGGTTTTCCGGTTCTAAATCTCATCCCTAGCGTGTTATTCCTTAATGAAAAGATCCCAAAAGTCTGAAAAATATGTCGTTGATAAGATTCAAACCCAAGCCTACTACAGAAAATGGCTGCGAAATTACCACAAGGTTGAACAACTTTTTGATTTTAAAAGCTGAAATATTATATATAGAGTACTATAATGCTAAATATATTATTATTAATAATATAGTTATTATTATTATTAATTATATTATTTCTATCATATAGTATTAATATTATTATTATTATTATTATTATTATTTTTATATATATATATATATATATATATATATATATATATATATATATATAAATAAACATATTTTATAACGTATAAATTCACTTAAAAATGTTTATAATTCGTATTTGAAGGTATTTGTATCCTTATTTAAAAGTATGCTTACCATTTCAAATATATATCTTCAATATATAAATACCTTATACCTTTAAATTTTATTTATGTGACGATCCGATATTTCAACTCTTTGTAATGGCCTAATAGGTCAAGTATTGTAACCACTTTTGAGTTAATAAAATTAACGTTGATAATAAAATGTCCAAAAAGTTTCTATTTAACTACCTACTATGTTTTATATCATTAAACCGGGATCGTACGTAAAAAGAATGCCCAAATCCGGCTTCGTATATTGAAGTTAAGATTTTTCCAAATTCAGCTTAGCAACAGACAACTAAAAACTCGAATCGGAGATCGAGCGACTTTTGGCTGGAATGACCTAAACGAGAATCAAAGGTCTCGACAATGGTATTTCAGCGGTAAAAAGTCTGGCAAAAACCGACGTCAGATAAAGAAGTTATGAATTGTTTAAAGAAATTTCTTAATCACGACATTTTATAAATAAAAAATAAAAATAATTTCGGAATTTGCCGACGGAATCTAAACGAAAGTTGTAGAGTATGGTCTCACCTTCTCAGAGATATAAAGAACGTCGAAAACGGAGTTCGTATAAAGAAGATATGAATTTTTGAAGTTTATTAAATAAATTATATATTTATTTAAATCAAAATCCGGTATTATCCAAAGGGGGAGTCAGCGTACTCATCCGAGTTACGCGTCGCGTAACCCCGTACGCCCCGCGTATGCGAAAGCCTTGGCCTCGGATCGTCCACGTCGCGCCTGTGCGAACCACCGACCCGTCCCATCCGAGCTCCGAGGCAGTCGAGGACTCGGTCACGCATGACGTACGCGTACACTCCGCGTAATGAGGCCTCTCAGCCTCCTATAAATAGAGATGTAAAGGTTCCGGGAAATACACCCCATTTCTCTCATTTCTCTCACGATATTGTCTCGATTTCCGTGCCCGCACTACCCCGAAGCCCTGGTCATTTTGCTCAAGTCCTGAAGGTCGATTTTACTCCCGAGATTCCTGAGAATCCCGAGAAAAATTCGTTTCCCGAGATGAAACTCTGCCCGGTTTTTCCATCTCGCCATCTTCAAACTTTCAACTGAGTTCATACCACTTAATTAACCCTTTTTAAATATTCTAAACGCTTTTATATGTTTTCTAAGGGGGGGGGGGGGGGAATACAAGTTAAACACACGACTACTATCGGGTGTTATATATAAAGATTATTATACACTTTTATTAAGTAGAATCATATGTGATTTATAAACTTTATAGGGAACTCCCGTATACAAAATATATTGCTATAGCATTCTATCTTTAAAACTATAAATTGTTGTAATGCATGTATAAACTAAACATTTTTCCTAGATTTAATGTATATGTGTCTATCTTAGGCTCTACAAAAATCTATGTTTTCATAACAAGTGATTCCTTTTCTAGATATTCTAAAACAAACGAGGCACACTTTTAGAAAACTATAATAGGTATAGTTTTATGAGGATATTGCTAACTTTTACATACTAGAAACATGATTTTCAAGAAATCACTTTCATAAACAAGAGCAAACGAACATTTTAACACGTAAATTTGTTTTTATACTACGGTTCTGTGAGACATTAACTTCACGTACGTTCGAGTACACATTTCAAGTCCTGTATTATATACCAAAATCCCTTGGAGGGGAAGCATGGTGTTTGTGTATAGATCTATATGGGCTTGACAACCTGCGCCTTGACTGTTAGCTACAGTCCACCATTTGGGGTGACAAACGTCATAACATTCCAACGCCTGAAGAACGTTGTGTATAGGCATTCCGAGTCAATAGTATGGTTATAAAACTCACATGAGGTATTAAAAATACATTGATTTACGAGGTTTTCAAACATATTGGTTATTTTTACACTTACATACATTTTTGGAAACAAACTTTGGTCTTGAAGGAAGACTACTTTTATACTAGTAGAAAATATAGGATTTTCTAAACACAAACAAACAAGCACAAGACATTTCATTTCATACAAACATTGTCATTAAATACTTATGAAACTCACCAACTTAAATGTTGATCTACTCTTTCAAATACTTGTATATCCCAGGGATTCAGTAACTACAGGTATCATTATGCTTTTGATGAAGGGATGCTGCGGCGCCAGTTTAATCTCATATTTTGACATCATTTTGTAATTGGTTTTTAACATGTAACTTTTGACAAATGTAAACTTTCAATTATATATATGATAGTTGTATTGCTTTCTTTACTATGTATTCATTTGTTACGTTACCACATGAAGTCATCCGCCCCCGAATGTTTCCGTTGTTCAGGTTTGGGGGTGTGACAATTTATACCTTTAAACATATTTTTAATGTTTTTTTATATATAAAAATAACGTTTTAGCCAACGGCCAACCACTGCCTTTGCCGTCTACAACAACCGCTGGCTACCGCTTATATATAAAAATACCTTACGCTTTTTTAATAAAATTATATTTATTAAAAACAAAAACAAAAAATATATATTAATTAATAGATATTAATTAAAAGTTAAAAAGTAGAGAAAATGACAAAAATAGTCATTTACACTAATTACATTACAAAAATAGCCAAAAAAAAAAATCGAAATTACAAAAATAGCCAACGATTCCGCAGATGGAAATGCCCCATCTGCGAAATCAGCAAGCTATCTGCGAAAGTACAAGCAGCTAAAGCACAGCTGTGCTTTAGCTGCTTGTACTTTCGCATATGGCATACTCCATCTGCGAAATTACAAGGCCACCTGCGAAGTCCTCTTCCTGACACTATATAAACGTATTTTTTTC